TTCTATGCGTTTCGCATCAAGGTCCCCATCCAACAAAGCTAGAAACGGGATTCTCCTGGTATCCTTGTTGGGATATTGATTGGAAGGCGGCTAAAACATATAAAGAACCGATGCAGGAATTGGGCATGGCTAGTGAAGAGAAGGACCAGGGGAGACATGGTAGCAGTCTTCCAATACTTAAGGGGCTGCCCCAAAGAAGACGGAGTCAAGCTATTCTCCAAAGCACCTTGAGGGCAGGACCAGAAGCAATGGGTGGACACTAATCAAGGAGAGAAGGAACCTAGAACTAAGGAGAAATTTCCTGATAGTGAAAAACAATTAACCAGTAGAACATCTCCAGAAGTTGTGTGTGCCCCATCACTGGAGTTTTTAAAGAAGAGATTAGACAAGCGTTTGTCTGAAATGGTGTAGGGTTTCCTGCCTAAGCAGAGGGTTGGACTGGAAGACCTCCAAGGTCCCTTCCAACTCTTGTTATTCTGCATACCCCAAAAAGGCCTCTTCAGTGCTTCTGTCTTTCCCACAGACGGTTTGCCACCCTCAGCCCCGGAGTTCCTGCGTTCCCAAGATCAGAACCAACACCTGCTTTTGTTGCGACTTATACCACTGCGGGAGGTGAGTGGCACAGACAGCGCCGTAACATCCCCAATAACTTGTCTTGGCGGGTCTCGAGCTAAGACCGTTTTGCAGTCTCTCGAGGGGAGAAAAACCGTTTCCGATTGGGTTTCATGCTGGGAAATAAGGATCATGTCCTCCACAGTATGTCTCTCGTGTCCTTGCAGATCTGGCTTTGGAAGCCAAAGTGTACTGACCCAGCTCCCGAAACACGACAAAACCCTCTGAAGTTAACTCAAAGATTCCTTTAGTTGTCTGCCATACCTGTTCATCTCCGCCCCCTGCCTTCGATCCCCAGAGCTAGGGTGGGGCTTTGCTAGTAGTGGTGGCTCTTCCGTCCGAAGGACCGGCCCATAGATTTCCACTGTTCTCCTCTCCTCTGCGTTCTGCGCATCCACGCATCGGGCACTGGACCCCCCTGTTCCTCTTCTTTCTCATCAGCCACCTCCAGGCCTGGGGGCTGTTGACTCTCCATCTGAGGGATGATGGACGGCCCAGGCTCCACCTTCTGTCTGTCTGTTTCTCTCTCTCTCTCTCTGTCTCTGTCTGTCTCTGTCTCTCTCTCTCTCTCTCTGTGTGTGTGTCTCTTTGTGTGTGTGTCTCTTTCTCTCTCTGTCTGTGTCTATGTGTGTCTGTCTCTCTCTGTCTCTCTATGTGTGTGTCTGTCTCTCTGTCTGTCTGTCTGTATCTGTCTCTCTCTCTCTGTCTGTGTGTGTCTCTCTCTGTCTCTCTGCTCTCTCTCTCTGTGTCTCTCAATGTCTCTCTGTCTCTGTCTCTATGTGTGTGTGTGTGTGTCTGTCTGTGTCTCTGTCTGTGAGTGTGTGTTTCTCTGTCTCTGTGTCTGTCTGTCTCTGTCTGTGTGTGTGTGTGTCTGTCTGTCTGTCTCTCTCTCTCTCTCTCTGTTTGTGTGTGTGTGTATCTCTCTGTCTGTCTGTCTCTCTCTCTCT